TAAACAGTCTTTTTTAAAACTGTTCAAAACGTTTTTGATGACAAGTTTCCAAAGATCTTTCAGAAAGTCTCTCAGATTAGACAATGAATTTTTAAATCATTCAGCTTAATAACCTGACGACTGTCTGTTCACTAGAAAGATTCAAAGAAACTGACGCAGTGCCTCAGTGCCATCACAGTTTCCAGCATTAATCTGTTTATCATGAAAGTCCGAGCTGCTCAGCCCTGATACTCAGAGTCCTTTTGATGTTTTTTATTTTATGAGCACAAAGGACGTACAATGAGACTGACAGGCCGGGCGGATGGTGGGGAAGGGGGTGGGGGGTCATGGGGGGTTTGCAGATTAAAACCGCTGTCTGCAATAAACAAAAGTGCATGTGTGTAAAACATGGTGATCGCAGTGAGAGCCAGCAGACAAAAGGGATCAGGGCCATCTGGGAAGCTCCCAGATTAACTGTACAGGACATTAGAGGCCACATGTCCATCATCTTCAGCGCGGCTGGATGCTGCTGCTGCAGCTTAAACCGCCTACAGAGCAAAAAACCTTTGTTTTTTTACAGTCAATACAGTCTATACAGTCTATACAGTCCATATAGCCCATACAGCTTATGCAGTCCAGCCAGTCTATACAGTCCACACAGTGAATAAAGTCCATACAGACCCTACAGCACATACAGTCTATACAGTCCAGGCAGTCTATACAGTCCATACAGCCCATATGGTCCATACAGCTTATGCAGTCCAGAGAGTCTATACAGTCTATACAGTCCATACAGCCCATACAGTCTGTACAGCTTATGCAGTCCAGCCAGTCTATACAGTCCATACAGTCAATAAAGTCCATACAGACCATACAGTCCAGACAGTCTATACAGTCCAGACAGTCTATACAGTCCATACAGCCCATACAATCTATACAGTCTATATAGTTCATACAGTCCATGCAGACCATACAGTCCACACAATCCATAGTCTATACAGTTCATACATTTAAGAGCATCCATACAGTCTATACAGTCCAGACAGTCTATAAAATCCATTTAGTCTGTACAATTTATAAAATCCATACAGTTCATACAGTCTATATAATCTGTACAGTCCATACAGTCCGTATATTCCATATAGTCTGCACAGTCTATACAGTCCACAGAGTCTATACAGTTCATTCAATCTATACAGTCTACACCGTCCATACACTTCATACAGTCTGTACACTTCATAAGTCTATACATCCCATACAGTTTATACAGTTCATACAGTGTTTACAGTTTACATTGTCTATACACTCTATACTGTCTGTAAAGTCTACACAGTCCATACAGTTAATATAGTCTGTACAGTCTATACCATCCATAGAGTCCATACAATCCATAAAGGCTATACAGTCCATGCACTGCATAGAGTCTAAACAGTCCATACAGTCTGTACAGTTTATACAGTCTATACAGTCTGTTCATTCCATACAGTGTCATGTAATAGACACTCCTTGTCAAATTACATGTTTTGTTGGTTTTCTAAGTGTAAATATGTTAACATATCCTCTGAACAAACTTAAAAAATAGATTTTTTTCTAAGATTTTAGTGCATAATTTCTATTATTTGCTGTATTTAATAAATTGGGGAAAAACTATAAAACATTTTTTCTCTGAATATGTTTAATTAAGCAAACAAAGTAATTGTGTATTAAAATGTGCATTAAGATGTGTGTCTGTGTAGAGGGTGTGTTACTGTCACATAGAGCCTCAGTCTGTGTGGAGAAGCCTCTGTGCGTGTATGGAGGAGCCTCTGTGTGTGTGGAGGAGCCTCAGTCTGTGTTTGTATGTTAGTGAAGCTCCTGTTGTCTCTGAGCTACTGACCGTGTGGTCAGTGACGTTTCGCTGGGCTGCTGATTCTGCCTGACCCCCAGATCTTCTGTTTGGGCTTAACCTGCCTGAGTGGAGCCGTATGTCACATCCTAATGCAGAGGAGAACAAGGGGGAAAACAGGGAGAATACAGACCTCCACTGTACAGCTCCTCACACACATTAGTGATAAACACTCTCACCACTGACAGACAAACCAAAAAAGCCTGCACTCGTTTACGGGTCACTCTCTTCTCACTGAAGCACAACAGAAAGATGAATCAGTCTTTGTCTGTTATCTCATTGTGTTCCTGGCTGCTGCTGTGGGACTGAGGTCCTCCTCCCGAGAGAGAGAGAGAGAGAGAGAGAGAGAGAGAGAGAGAGAAAGCTCACAGAGCTCCTTTTATTCGAATGAGATCATGCTAACCAGTTCCCACCTGCTCCATTCATTGTTAGCCATGTTAGCATTTGTGAGTGAAAGCCTCTGTTAAAGGGTCCAAACTCTAATTTTTACTGTATTTTCTGCTGAAATGAACAAATAAAGTTTGAATAAAGTTTGTAGTTTTATGGAACAACGTCCATTTTTACACATCCAGTTAAGAAACTTTATCACTTTACCAATTACAGTTGTAAACAGGCTGTTTTTGTTACTGTGTCTTGACCGATACATATGTAAATAAGTTCAGTTCTCATAGGCTGCCATGTATTGTGCCTCATTCAAGGCACAGACTGTAGGCGGTAACGAAGGGGAATTCCACCAATTTCCAAACATGTCCTCATAATTCAGTGTTTCAGATGTAAACAGAGTCATTCAGAGTGGAATTTGTGTGAAATTGTTTGATTGTAGAGATTCAGGTGTCTTTACAGTGGTGGTGATGGGAACCAGGGGTCACCATGACTACAACACAAATATAGACATTTTATTTACGATCAAAACCACCAGTGAACCTACGCAAGTTTTATATGGAATGTTGATGATGGAAAAATAGTGACAAATCTGAAAAAACTACATTTTCTTTGGGGACTATTTTGCCTCACAACACCCTGCATGTACATGTCCACCATAAATAGATTTGAGAAAATTGTTTTTAGACCAAAATCTCTTCCAAAACTATCATAAAATAGTGTCTCAGACAACAGGCAGTGTTTTCAGAACCACTTCATGTAGTAACTTTCTGGGAGGGAGCTTTTAGAGGTGGACGTCTGGTTCCTATCAGCACCACTGTGAACAATTCTGACTCGGTAAGTTTCTCTAGAACAGAGCGTTTCACACCAAACCACTCTGAATGATGTTTACATCTTAAAGACTGACTTATGAAGACATTTCTAAAATCGATGGCCTGTGTTGATGGTAAGGGCCTGTTTATGGTTTGTTTGTTAATTAGAAGGCTTATAAGGCACCAGTGACATAAGCAGGCTTTGTTTATTACCCAGCAGTGCAGACCAGACCTTGTGTGATCTCTGATAGATTTTGCCTCACGCCACCCACATGGAGACATTAGAATCAATAACACCTACATGAGTAATGGCACGACTCCACTGGCATTGGGTAAATATCATATACATCAATAATTAAGATGGGTGAGGAGAAAAGAGGGAATGCGCTGCTCTCCAGACACCAGGTCCTTCTGATTTGGAACGTCAGCCGAAAACCGCCCGTCATATTCCTGAAACAGCACCATCAGCAGCAGACGACCTCGAGAGACATTAAAGGAGGATTCCACTGATTTTTCAGTCTGAATCTGCATAATTAAATGGATAAGATGTAAACAATGTGGTTTGATGTGAAATGAGAGACGTCAGAGTTGTTCACAGCGGTGGTGATAGGAACCAGACGTCTGAAGAGTTTAATGCCTCTAAAAGAAATGCAGCAATGTACAGACACTGTACAGCTCTGATTTTCCATACAGTGGCAGTGATAGGAACCAGGTGTCAAGAGCTGTTTTATTAACTCTCCTTAGTTGTAGGGTAAAAATACACATACGCACATATATATATATATATATATACACATACACATATATATATATATATCGTAAAACAATGTCTCAGACATCAGGCAGTGAATTCATAACCATTACCTGTAATAACTTTCGGTGAGGGAGCTTTTAGAGGTGGACGTCTGGTTCCTATCAGCACCACTGTGAACAATTCTGACTCTGTAAGTTTCTCTAGAACAGAGCGTTTCACACCAAACCACTCTGAATGACTTTGTTTACATCTTAACCACTTAATTATGAAAAATCAGTGGAGTTTCCCTTTAAATATGTCTGCAGTGTAGGTCTCCATCAGAAATGAGTTGGAGCTTGAATGCTAGTTTACAGGTTGATATTCGGCGGTGGGCGAAGTTTTATCAGACTATACATGGTGATGGATGTGCTTCTGTGGATGGACTGTGTGAGTCTGTAACATTGGGAAGGTGCTGGAAACTCTGGAAAGCTGGTGAAGTTCTCCTTCAGTTCTTATTTGATTTTAATACTTTTATTGTAGCATTTATTGCTTTATAAAAATTTTTACACTATCATTTTAGGGATTTTTGTTGATTGAAGTTTTATTTATATAGAACTTTTTTTTTTTTAAAGGTTTCACAAAGTGCTTTACAGAAAAAAGGAATAAAAACAGAGCAAGAGAGAGAGAGAGAGAGAGAGAGAGAGAGAGAGAGAGATAGAGACAGAGAGAGAGAGATAGAGAGAAAGAGAGAGAGAGAGACAGAGAGAGAGAGAGAGAGAGAGAGAGAAAGAGAGAGAGAGAGAGAGACAGAGAGAGAGAGAGAAAGAGAGAGAGAGAGAGAGAGACAGAGAGAGAGAGAGAGAGAGACAGAGAGAGAGAGATAGAGAGAAAGAGAGAGAGAGAGAGAGAGAGACAGAGAGAGAGAGAGAGAGAGAGAGAGAGAGAGAATGAACAAAATCAAAAATGAAATAAAATAATTGATTTTTTAAATTAATGATATAAAAACGGTTGAATACACGTTTGTGACTGTCACACTCAACCAACAGTATAAGGCAAGTGTGCTGGGACGGACAACCATTGCCCCCCTGCTGCCCCTTCTGCCCCTTCCTCCTCTCATTCACCCCCTCCCCCGCCCACTGCTTCTTTGCCCCGCCCCCTTTCGCCTCGTTTTCGCTTCACACTGAGCGACCGTTGCCGAGCAGATCCTTCATCTGCGCTGGACTCGGTGCTGCGGAGCTTCCTCAGCCTCACAGTCCCTCACACACATACTGCCTCACACACTGCCTCACACACTCCGAGATCCGCTCCAGCCCTGCTTCTGCCTCAGCCCGAGCGGAATATGGATCTACCTCTCAGGTTTACCCGGAGGACTCGTTACTGGGCTTGTTTGGAATAAGCGAGGCTGTGGAGGAGCTCAGGGGGCTTCAGCTGGGTGAGTAGACCACGGTGCTGTTACAGGTGTTCAGACCTTCATCTCCACACTGACCGGAAATGAAAGGGGAACCCATTTTTCAAAATGCCCCTATAATTTAGTGACTGAGATGAGTCAGTCAGAGTGGTTTGGTGTGAAATGGTTCAGTGTAGAGAAACTTACAGACTCAGATGTCTTTACAGTGGTGGTGATAGGAACCAGGGGTCACCATGACCACAGCGCAAATATACCCATTTACTATCAAAACCACCAGTCAACCTACACGAGTTTTTATGTTGATGATGGTGGTAAATCTGGAAAAATCTGGAAAAATAAGTTTTCTTGGAGGACTATTTTGCCTCACAACACCCTTCATTTGTATCCCTCCACCATTAATAGATAAATACTTGATCACAGTACCTTTTAGGCCAAAACTTTATTACAAAACTAGCACAAAACAGAGTCTCAGACATCATTCATAACCATTTCATGTAGTAACTTTCTGTGAGGGAGCTTTTAGAGGTGGACGTCTGGTTCCTATCACCACCACTGTGAGTGTTAGTTTCTCTAAAACAGAGCATTTCACAGCAAACCACTCTGAATGACTTAATGTACATTTTTACCACTCATTTATTCAGAAATTTTGAAAAATCGGTGGAGTTCCCCTTCTGCAGTATGTCTGCAGTGCGGGTTTTGGTCAGAAATGAGTCAGAAATAAGCTGGAATGCTGCTTAACAGGTTGATATTTGGTGTTTTATCTGACCAAGTGTGGTGATGGATGTGTTGCTGTGGACTGAATGTGATGCTGTGATGCTGGGAAGGTGCTGTGGTCTCTGAATTCAGCTCGTTTTTGCCTCCACGATGGCTTTTCTGTGATATAATTCGCGAAATAGCCCGTGTCAACTTTCCCCTTGGTCCTAATTTGAGTTTTTGGACAGCATTTCTGTCAGAGAGCTGCATCATTTGGAGCTGTAATGGCTGTGAGAGCAGATGGCTCACGCTGCTAATAGAGTCACTCACAGGCTGAAGTGAAGAACTGGTAAAACTGCATGATGTTGCTCCTCAGATAACCCACGACAAACAAGCCAGACACGTATGTGAGGGTCCGAGAAACGGCTTTGCTGTCTGAAGGTGAAGGGGGGGCTGCAGAGAGCACTCCTCTGCTCTGAGGGATTAAAGGAAGAATCCTTTAATCATGCAAAGGGTTCCTTGAGTGTTAATGGTTCTATACACATTTTTATGTGGATGATGGTGATAAATCTGGAAAAATAAGTTTTCTTGGGGGGGACTATTTTGCCTCACAACACCCTTCATTTGTATCCCTCCACCATTAATAGATAAATAATTGATCACAGTAAGTTTTCAGCCAAAACTTTATCACAGAACTATCATAAAACAGTGTCTCGGACATCATTCATAATCATTTGATGTACTGACTTTCTGTGTGGGAGCTTTTAGAGGAGGACGTCTGGTTCCTATCACCACCACAGTGACTGTAAGTTTCTATATAGCACCTTTTTGAAAAAGGTTCTTCTTTTGGTACAAGCTTGACATTGTAACAATAGCAGAACCCTTTTTTTTCAAAAATATATATAATATATAATATAATATATATATAATCGTCTATAGAACCATCAACAGCACATTCTCTATCAGTCTGAAGAACGCTTTCACACCGCAGAGAACGCTTTAATCATGGAAAGGGTTCTTTCAGTGTTAATGGTTCTATACAGAAACATTGTCTTTACTAAAGAACCCTTGAAGAATCATTTTTAAGAGTGTACTGTTGAATCAACACTGGTTCCTCAAGGTTTCTTTAGTAAAGAAAATGGTTTTATATAGAACCACAAACACTCAAAAAACCCTAAATGGTTCTTTGCATGGTGAAATGGTTCTTCAGATTGATGGAGAATGTGCTGTAGATGGTTAAATGTAGAACCTTTTTGAAAATAGTTCTATATAGCACCCAGAAGAGTTCTTCTATTGTTATGATGCTAAGCATGTAACAATAGAAAAACCCTTTTTGGGTGCTAACCCTTTTCAGAAAGGTTCTACATGTAACCATCTATAGCACATTCTCCATCAATCTGGAGAACCATCTCTTTTAAGAGTGTAGGGATGCACCGATATGGGAGTTGGTACAAGTACCTAAGGGTCAACCATATGGTAAAAATATTATATCTTGATACATCAGTACATTCTCACGATACATGATATGCATCATGATATTTAGTTTTTCTGAGATTTAGTAAGTTGGAACAGACAAAATGGGATATATTATTAAAATACTATAATAATAATAATAATAGAAATAATAATAAACCTATGACTACACTGATTTTTATTCAGTGTTTTACAAATTGCATTGCACTAAATCCAATCAAACAGGCCTAATTATGCTCACTTTGTAGTGAAATGTGCAGTTAGTCCAGATTCTTTAAGTACTGATTATATCCACAATATACTCAGAAAAGCATATTGTGGCAAAATTTATCATGATAATGATACAATATCATCATATTGCCCATCCCTAATAGTAACCCAGCCTCACCTAAACATTCAGCTCTTCAAGACTACAATAAATATGCCATATAATATAAGCATTAGTGTAAGTATTAGTACGTAGTATCAGTATCTAAACATCTGTCCACTGCTGATCATTTTTCAAAGCATGTTTCTGATATCATTGTGCATCCCTACAATAAGCCAGTGACCAAAACACAACTTCTCCTCATAGATATCTTTAATTGCATTAATGAGGCTCTATGCTCAGTTAACCTCCGTGTGATTTGGATCTGTGCTGTTTTCATTAGTTACTCGTGGTTCAGCAGAGAATCAGTGACGGAGATGATGGAGCCGAAACAAATTCCTCCCTGAAATAAAGCTGAACTGATGTGAGTTAAGTGTGCGCATGTCAGTGTGGAGAAAATTAATTCTCAGGGTTTTAAATATGATCTAAATGTGGCAACGTTTTGGGCTATGATTTAATAGACCCTTAAAAGAGAACCAGTCATTTAGGCTTTGAGTCCATTTTTAGTTTTCCCGTCAAATTTGAACCCCCAAAACATCAGATATTCTACACCGTCTATTCATTCATTAAACATGTGGGTCAAGTTCATGGTTTGATCATGTTGCTATACAGTGATCCATCATAAGCTTTTTTGTGTAGAAATAGGTCAGCATAATTAAGGGTCTATAAGCTGGAGACACATCAGTCTCAGATTTGGAAGAGAATGGAGTGGAGTCTGTCCAGCTCAACCAGCAGGGGCATTTTCATGGTTCACTGGAAGAAACTTCCAGAATTGCAGTTTTTTTCAGTCAGTGAGTATTTTGGGACTAAGGTCTGTCAAACTATTGCATAATAGTGAGTGAGTTCATGTTGTTTTATTAATTTCCTTATGTGAAAATGGGACATTGCAGTTATTACATAATAGCCTGGTCACAGTTATTTGAGCTGATTGCAGTTATTTAAGCTGACCGCAGTTGTTTTCCACAAATAGAATTTGATGGTGAGTAATGTTTGTTAATAACGCCGTTAGAGGGCGGCGCTGAGTAACGTTGGTTTATTTGCCGTTTGTTAATGACACCTTTAGAGGGCGACGGTGAGTAACGTTGGTTCATTTGACTTTCGTTAATAACGCCTTTAGAGGGCGATGGCGAGTAACCGTGGTTCATTTGACGTTCGTCAATAACACCTTTAGAGGGCGATGGCGAGTAACCGTGGTTCATTTGATGTTCGTTAATAACACCTTTAGAGGGCGATGGCGAGTAACCGTGGTTCATTTGATGTTCGTTAATAACACCTTTAGAGGGCGATGGCGAGTAACGTTGGTTCATTTGACTTTCGTTAATAACGCCTTTAGAGGGCAATGGCGAGTAACCGTGGTTCATTTGACGTTCATTAATAACGCCTTTAGAGGGCGATGGCGAGTAACCGTGGTTCATTTGATGTTCATTAATAACGCCTTTAGAGGGCGATGGCGAGTAACCGTGGTTCATTTGACGTTCGTTAATAACGCCTTTAGAGGGCGATGGCGAGTAACCATGGTTCATTTGACGTTCGTTAATAACGCCTTTAGAGGGTGACGGCGAGTAACGTTGGTTCATTTGACGTTCGTTAATAACACCTTTAGAGGGCGGCGGCGAGTAACCGTGGTTCATTTGACGTTTGTTAATAACGCCTTTAGAGGGCGGCGCTGAGTAACGTTGGTTCATTTGACATTCGTTAATAACACCTTTAGAGGGCGGCGGCGAGTAACGTTGGTTCATTTGACGTTTGTTAATAACACCTATAGAGGGTGGCGGCGAGTAAAGTTGGTTCATTTGACGTTAGTTAATAACACCTGTAGAGGGCGATGGCGAGTAACCGTGGTTCATTTGACGTTCATTAATAACGCCTTTAGAGGGCGGCGCTGAGTAACCGTGGTTCATTTGACGTTCGTTAATAACACCTTTAGAGGGCGGCGCTGAGTAACGTTGGTTCATTTGACGTTTGTTAATAACACCTTTAGAGGGCGACGGTGAGTGACTTGTTTATTTGAGCTGTTTCTGTCTTCTATTAGGAGCTTCTTAGTATCGACAGTTAGGAGGCAAGATAGCTTATTTGGTCACTTTAGGCTTGTTTTTTTTTTCAAATTGTTAAACATGGTTAAACACTGTTTTCCGTGTTTGTAAAACAGCTCTTGGTCTGTGAATCATCCATTTTCATAAAAATTATGTTCTATACTTCTCTCACTGATCACATTTAATTGTTGTTGCCGTGCACTCTGGCTGTAAGAGATTAGAGTTGGGGGGCTCTTTCTAGCCGTAAACTGGAAGCACATCAGGAGTGGAAATCTGGTTTCCCAAACATATGGTGGAGATGAGCACATGCGCTTTGTTCGACGCCTTTGTCTGTTAATTCCCCTTCTCCCGGAGGCTCAGCGGAGATGGCACGGGATGCAGTGAACTTGGCTGGCAACATCTGGCACGGCAGAGAGGTTTGGAGGGTGAGTCGCAGAGGGAGCATCATCTGCCCTCGC